CGCATGCACTATTACTTTTTATTCCAAAATATGATGGCATAAAATTTGTTACTTTTCATATTGACATCAACTCCAAGGCACTAATAAGGCCTTTATTCCCCTTATATGTGACAGAAGTTGAAAAAAGTTTAAATATTCGTGGGAGACCCTCATTGTGCTTGTAAATATTCAAATTAAAGATATTATACATAGATTATAGTCTTAATAAATTGATTTAAATCTTATTAAAAATGATTGAATTTGTCTTAAAACATTAACATCATAAAATAAGATATGAATAATATTGCTTGATTGAACATTCCCAAATTAGCAATATTATTGAATTAATACTGTTTTATATTTTTCAAATGTAGAACAATTATCACTGTTATACTTTTTTCTCATTTTCAAATCAAATGACTATGACTAAATGTTAATATTATACTGTTAAATATGCAAAAAATAATATATATCTTCGTTTTATTATTAATTTCAATGATAATTAATAAAATTAATAGTAAAACTTTCAAAAATACAAGAACAAAGTAATCAGACCGTTTCTCAAAATCTAAAACGGGTGATACTTTTGTATTTAAGTATAAAATACAACGATTTTTGTTAACAAAATAATGATTAAAATGAATATAAACATAAACGTATACAATTTAAAAAAAAAAAAATAGAACGAGTAAATAAGTTAATATCCAAACAAATCTATAAAGGTGTCTCCCACTATTTCTTCTCTTTTCACGATATGTTTGATCACAGTTGCGTGCAGAATAAAATACAATAATGCAATAATAATACGAAATGATTAGTGCTATCAGCCATTAGATATTTTTTACAATAAAAATAAATGCTAGAACTAAATGAAGGATTCGTGCGATAAATAAGTGTTTCTATGCTTTACTAAGCACTAATAGTAAAGTATAGATTATTTCATAAACTACAACAAAGAGTCGATTCGAACAAAAACCATTTTAATTTTACATAAATTCATCGAATAAACTCTTTCTTTAAATATGTGTTCAATTTTTTCAAATTAAAGCTAATGTAATTCATGATTTATACAATTCATGATTTAGCCTATACTAGAACTGATGCGTTTTTATTGTGCAAAGTCAACTTGGCTTACACATTATACGCTCGTGTTAATTTTATATTAAACACTGTACTATTTACATTTTGTCAACGCATTCAGTACTATTGACTCCTAAACAAGCAACAACGATCTTCACACAATTCAAATTGTGCTGCAACAACGAAACTTGCCAATTGCGTTACAAAGTTCCTCGAAGCAAGTGTTTATATATCAATAAAAATAATTTTTAATACTGAGAACATGTATAATCTTTTCTTACAACTGATAAAAGTATTTCATATTCATTAATTTCAATTGAAGACACTTGCATCTAAAGTCATGATGTATATATTTCGTATTTTTCCCTTAATCACCATGACCGACTTGAAATAATACACGATAAAATACTAAATACCCAACACTGTTTTTTAATTGATATTTGACTACAATAGCATAAATTTGAGTATATATTCCTATTTTTTACTAAACTCTATTCTTTGAAAGATTGTTAATATGAAATCATTAATTGACTGTGCATGTTGCAATTACATTTAGTCAAAAAGAAATTGAAAGCTTTCGAAAATGAAATACATTGTCCGATTGATTTAAAACTGATTATAAATAATGCATTGTATAAATTAAATTATGAGATTCGTAAACGATTAGTATATTTTTTGATCTTTTCATTTTTTAATATTTTTGTTTAATATAAAATACCAACATGAGCGTATTTTTAGTTGAACAATGTTTTCCATTATATGAAAGAGTTCATTTTCTATACATATTTGTGCATGCATGATTTTTATATTTTTTTATTATTTCTTGAAGATAATGAAGTTAATTCTTTGATAGTGATCTTATAAATAAATTATTGAGCCTAGAGTTATGACGATTAATATAAATAAAATGAAAATTTAGGCCAATGAACATATTTACCTCAATGAAATTATTTCACATTTCTATGAGTCACTGAATAATAAATAATTAAGGACCAATATAACCAGAACTTCTGAGGAACCATTCATTAAAATGTTCATGGACGAAGTGTGTAAATCACAAGAGTGTTCACATACATAATGTACCAATCGACAATCATTTAAAAATCATTACAACCATCAAGGTCATTCAATGATTTGTACAAAACATTGTCAGAATTATTTCTAACTTTTTTATGTATTAACATTTTCATTTTATAATACTACCCATACTCTTGTCAGATAACATCTCTTGGTACTTCAAAAATTTATTTTTAATTTAACGACAGTAAAATCTGTCGACAAATATTTCCTACTATGAAAGTGTGCAATCTCATTATATAAAACAAATATATTATATTAATTATTAATTAAAATTATACTTTTTTACCTATTATTCAACAGCAAAACCACAAGTTTCTTCAACTGCTTGTGTAAGTTTATCAAGCATTTTCTGATAACTGGGATAACTTTCTGGAATATCTATTCTATTGAAACAGGTATGCGCTTTTGGTAAATTTTCACTTGGCGCATCAACAGCATGTATTGTAAATAATCGTGGACCTGCCGCTCCTGTTGATCCTATAAAAATATATGAAAATAGCAATATTTTTGTAAAACAACATAATTAGAAATTTAATTGATTCAAGAATATTTACCTTGTAAAGCTTTAAAACCCTGCAAGGGAACTCGGGAACTTCCAGTAACAAACTGAAGTAATCGAGCTCTCATTTCTTCCCCATAAGATTCTACTATTTGCCAAAACCATTTTACTACTGGTGTATCAGGTGTGCAATGTTTTAACCGTGTGTGCATTTTCCAATCGTTAATATCGATTGTTCCTAAACCACCAATAACCAATTCTAATTCCCTTTCATCGAAAGGTCTTAATAGTTGAGGTGGAATTAATTCGTGGAATCCTTTTTGTAATGCCAGGAATTGTTGTTCAATTCCTCGCATAAAGCGATAGTTTACGTATAAACGTACATATTCCTTTTTATTTTCTTCGGTTACAGGAATGTCTTTACCACCTGGTTTAAGTTCATGATTTTTTAACACTCCAAAACTACTATGTTCCACTGAAAAGGTAGCATCCAACACTCCGTCTATACTATTTTCCCTACAAACAAAATGATTTTACGATGTAATATAAAAATTGTAACAATTATTATTTTTTTTTTTTACTTACAACATCCATGTAAGGCTTCTATGTAATTCTGGATCAACTCCTTCTATATCAGTAAGAGTAATTGCTTTGTTAAGCAACATTTTATAAAATGGAGTTGTGAAACCTCCATCTATATGGTGTCCGTGAAAAACGGCAATTCCCATTATCCTGCCGGCAAAGTGGAAGTACGATAAATGTTCTGGATTTATTCCTGAATCTGGATTAATTTGAAGTGTATAATTATCATCTCTTGAATATTGGAAAAGCCCATATTGTGGATTTAACATCTCATGCGATAATAAATATAACCATTCTCGCGCTACTCCACCATAATCAAGACCTTCTTCACCGCGGAATTTTACCATAAGTCTTTTACGCATGTCTTTTGGTCGCATTTTCATTATTAATCTATATGACTCCTGTAACAAACAAATTTATATGTTACTAAACTTAAGAACTGGGGAAATCATCAACATAAAATTATACTCACTTCGAATATTTCATTTCTTGATACTTCAAGTCTGCAATGTCCACTTTGAGGCTGAAGAGCATTCAATTCTGCTCTCAAACACTTCAATTTTGCTACTAAATCACGTTTATATTTCGGCAGTAGCTCATTGTCCATTAGTTCTTTTGGCAATTCTGATACAGTTTGAGCATTTTGAGTTGATGTATTTTCCACTAAAATAAATATAACAAATAAAAACTGCAAGAGACTCGAACAAAATTTATTTTCACTTAGGAAAATTAGGGACAATTACAATAATATACTCTAACAAATAAAATTCCCCAAAAATAAAAAAGCATTCTGCTGCAGTAAGATTGATTGAGAATAGGAATTAACTATCAGATACAGAGATAAGATAGAATTCTATAATGCACAAACATATTTTTGTTTTATATTTAAATAGCATAAAAGAGATTTTATTGTTTTAAACAATATTAGTAACATTAATATACTCAATTATATAATGAACTCAAATATTTAAATTTTATAATGTACTTAAAAACATATTACATATTTAATTTTATTAATAATCATAATATTATTAAAATATAAATTGTTAAACTTACATGTTGGGGAATTATTATTACTTCCATTTTCTGTTCTTGGCCTTTGTTGAACCATATTGCTTTGAATACTTGGTGATACAGGTGTCTCTATTTCTGCAGATTCATTTGCAGTTGCAGTTGAATTATTTGAATTACTTGTAGTTTGATTAGTTGTACTATTCTGCCGTCTACTACGAGTAAAATATATTTTATATATTAAATTATACGTAAATTATTGTAAATTAAAATATTTTCATTGACTTACTTTAACAAATTGCTTATGATTTGACTGGACAGTCTAGGGTCAGTAAATTGAGTAGTTCTGTTATTATGGTCAACAAAATAAACACGACCACTTTGTGTTTGTCGCATTTCCCAGCCACTCGGTAATGGCCCAAGTTCATTTGCTAATTCATTGGCTGGTAAATCGCGAGGTATTCTAGGATCATGCCAGGTAGATGAACCCGTTGGTACATGATAAAAATACACTTGACCTTGTTGTGTTTTCCTCATTTCTATAAAATAATTTAATATTTTTTTATTTTGTTCATATATCATTATATTCGTACAAGATTTTTGATTACTTACCATAACCTCTAGGTAAATCTGGTGGTTGCGGAGGATCGTACCTTCTCTCATTATTAACTACTACGCTATTTCTATTTCTGTTACTTCGATAAGGTCTTCGTAGTTGAGCATTGTTAACACCACGTTCTGGCCTAACATTACCATTCTGATTGCCATTTTGTTCGTCGCTTGTTCGTGCTGGTCGTCGTTCCCTCGACGATGCAGGTGTTACATTTCTTGTGTTATGTTGATTTTGTTGATTTCTGTTCTGCTGTTGAGTTGGTGTGTTTCTTGGTGTATTTGGGGCAGAACTATCTCTGCTGGGAGTTCTACTGGGTGTTCCATCACCATTCCATTCAGCTGTACTTCTAGTAGGACTTTCTGTTCTTATATTAGGTGGACTTCCACTTCCACTAGGAGACGTAGGTTCAGAAGACGGTAATGGCGGTGGTTCTGGTGTAGTTGGTATTATACCATTGGTGGGTCTATATAATCATTAATAGAAGTTGTATATAAGTGAATTTAATAAAAAAATATATATATAT